TTGCACAGCAAAAGAAACAGTCCACAAAACCAAAAGACAACTGACAGAATGGGAGAAAATATTTGCAAATGACGTATCAGATAAAGGGCTAGTATCTAAAATTTATAAAGAACTTATCAAACTCAACACCCAAAGAACAAATAATCCAATCAAGAAATGGGCAGAAGACATGAACAGACATTTTTCCAAAGAAGACATCCAAATGGCCAACAGACACATGAAAAAGTGCTCAACATCGCTCGGCATCAGGGAAATCCAAATCAAAACCTCAGTGAGATACCACCTCACACCAGTCAGAATGGCTAAAATTAACTAGTCAGGAAATGACAGATGTTGGCGGGGATGTGGAGAAAGGGGAACCCTCCTACACTGTTGGTGGGAAGGCAAGCTGGTGCAACCCCTCTGGAAAACAGTATGGAGGTTCCTCAAACAGTTGAAAATAGAGCTACCATATGGATCCAGCAATTGCACTACTGGGTATTTACCACAAAGATACAAATGTAGGGATCCGAAGGGGTACGTGCACCCCAATGTTTATAGCAGCAATGTCCACAATAACCAAACTGTGGAAAGAGCCAAGATGTCCATCAATAGATGAACGGATAAAGAAGATGTGGTATATATACACAATGGAATATTATGCAGCCATCAAAAGGAATGAGATCTTGCCATTTGCAACGACGTGGATGGAACTGGAGGGTGTTATGCTGAGCAAAGTAAGTCAATCAGAGAAAGACATGTATCATATGACCTCACTGATATGAGGAATTCTTAATCTCAGGAAACAAACTGCGTGTTGCTGGAGTGGTGGGGGGTGGGAGGGATGGGGTGGCTGGGTGATAGACATTGGGGAGGGTATATGCTATGGTGAGCGCTGTGAATTGTGCAAGATTGTTGAATCACAGATCTGTACTTCTGAAACAAATAACGCAACATATGTTAAGAGAAAAGAAAAAGAAGAAGATAGCAGGAGGGGAAGAATGAAGGGGAGTAAGTCAGAAGGGGAGACGAACCGTAAGAGACGATGGACTCTGAAAAAGAAACTGAGGGTTCTAGAGGGGAGGAGGGTAGGGGGATGGGTTAGCCTGGTGATGGGTATTAAAGAGGGCACATTCTGCATGGAGCACTGGGTGTTATGCACAAACAAGGAATCATGGAACACTACATCAAAAAATAATGATGTAATATATGGTGATTAACATAACAATAAAAAATTAAAAAAAAAGAAAGTGCTTTCCAATCATGTAATAAATAAGAAAAATGAAGACCCTTTGCAAATGCCTCTGAACTAGCCTTGTTTTTTTAATCAACTCTACAACAATTCAAAAAAGTCATGATATAAGAAAACAGCAAATCTAATACAATCTAAACAGACTATTTCTATATAATGCATTGATGAAATCATATTTTAACACCCCAATATTGCCACCCCCTTGGAAATAGCTAATGAATCAGGTTTGCATTTCCACAGACTTCAGTAGTAATCTCATCAAATAGAAGATAAGCATACATACAACAAAAGAACACAGACAAAAGGAAGGAAATTAAAGGGAGCGAGGATAAAAAAAAAAAAGTCACCTAATTAACAGAAGAAAAATTAAAATACACCTTATATGCCGTGTGCAATCCATGATTTTTTGAATGCAGGCAACTGGTAAATACATACCAAACAGTGAAAAGTTTGACCAACAAGTGGTCAGCTCGCAGAGTTTAGCAGCTGCTCTGAAAGAATATGCTACAAAACAAAGTGCCTTGATTTTCTAATATTTCCTACGGCTCTTATCTAGCAACTATGACAAACAATGCTTTTTTCCTGCCACTTGGTGGCAATATGCACACATTTACAATGTTATTCATTTCCTAGTTTAAAAAAAAATCAGTCTTAAATTATTTTCAGAGAAGATGATTCAACAACTTTTTCCTCAAACCCTGAGGTGAGTTCTGGAAAATACCTTACAGATTCAAAGAAGCCTTTTTATTCAGCCTAATACACAAAACAGGTTAGGTTAGACAAAATCCAAACATCATTTACGTTATCTGACCTTTGCAGAATCATTATCCTTTGATGATTATTCAATCCAAAAGTACCAAAATAGAAACTTTTTTGCACACACCAGTTACCTCAATTAACACACATTCTCAGTATGACTTCAGTAGCATCAACTGGTTGTCTACACGGCTTTACTGTGCCTCAACAGTATCTCTACCACCTTCACTACTGCTTAATGACTTCCGCTGACACAAAGTTGAAGCAATACTAATACGTCAACTGTAGTTTCCCCGTCTTTATTGAAAATTTTCCTCTAGACAAAATGATCTTTTTAAAAGTCTATTTTTTTAACCTAGAATAACCTTCTTTAACGAAAAAGTAAAACTAATCACTAACATCAGTGGGATAACAGATGTCCAAAAAGATAAATATTTGTTATTAGGCACCAAAGTTAATACCAAGGACAATTTAACATTTTAGGACAAATTTTCCTGACTTAGTATTTCTAGCATCATTCTCTAGACTTACTTTCTATGCCAAGAAGACTGCAGTCATGTCCCCAGGTTACCTTGTGCCTATTGCCTTAGCGGCTTTTCACAAAGGCCTGAATCTTTCTTTCCACCGCGTGCACCACCCGTGAGTAACTGGCCAGGCTTCATCCAGAACGCTGGACCTCCCGAGCAGTCCCCTACTACTGATCCTTTCTAAAAATCAAGTAATTTTAACAGGTTTCCACCTTCGTATGTAAAACAAATACACGTCTGCTCTGAAAATTTAATAATACAAATATATAAAAAATACAGAAAAGTAGTTACTCTGGCCTTTCCATCATTATTTCTTCAGTCTTTGGAAGCTGGAAGCTTAGATTCTTCAAGCTCTCCTTTATCTGCTGTTTTAGACAGGCCAGGCCAGACCCAAATAGAGAGGAAGTGAAAACGAAGGCAATCACAACAAAGGATAACCTTTAAATCATCTACATGAGAAGCCATTACAGCTTTGTACTCATTTTCAACAGTAACTAACAAGAGGAACCTTATTTGGACTTAGGCGTTAACTCTTCAAGTAGCTGTTCCTTTCTTGCTTTCCCTGCAGGGCCTCAGTTAGTCAGTATTAAATGACACAATGACTTCCAAAATTCCCAATCAAGATTCTTTTGCATAGTACCTGGCACCTAATTTCCTAACCAAAATAAAGAAAAATGAATTAATCAATGAATCCAGCTGTACCAAAATGTACCTTCAAAAATCCAGAGAAAGAACAGCCTCGCTGCAATAAATGCACACCTATTCCTATTTCCATCAGATGCAGCCCAGGCTCATTGAGTTGATGGTAAAGGAATGATCTGAGGCAAACTTTGTGTTCTTTAGGCATCTTTACCTCCTCCATTTTCAAGCCTTATTGTATGTGACCAGAGACACAAAATGGAAAGCTATGAAAATTAGGGCAATAAAAAGAATATGAAATTTGGAGTTATAGTCCCAGGGGTTCTAATCCTGGCTCCATCGATTCCTAAACTAAGATGAACGTGTGCATATTTAAAGTTTCTGATCTTTAGTTTCCTAAGAGAATGAGGATTGTAACATACTGATTTTACAAGATTATTCTGAGGATTAAAATTTTTAAATATCAGTAAGGCATTTCCAGTCTGGTCCATGAATGGAGCTGAATAAAGGGCAAGTGTTTCTTCTTCAGGTTTATTATGAGGTACAAGGCTGGCCTACTAACTCATCAAATATTTAGGGTGTTTACTTGCTCTGTTTCTACAACAATCTGCTCTGCACACACATTCAATTTCATTATATATATATAAAAAAAATTGAATATCCAGTATTGACTTCATAAAAAAAAAGGAGCCACTAACTTGACTTGACTCTATGTCCCAAACTGTAGATACCAACTTCTTCCCATATTTAATTCTAAAATCAGATGGCTAAGTTTTATTAGTAAGTTAAGATAAAATAATCAGAAGTTTAGTAAGCTTCAATAACGATAAGAAAGAACACTTTGGCAGTATGAGTCCTAAATATTGCTTGAATTTGCTCATCCTATTTGAGGATAAAGTTATTAATTACACAGCTTCACCATCATCTCAGCTTGGATTGAGAGGGCTTTAAGAAAGAGACCTCTTAACTTTCTTCCAGCATAGACATTAATCACATAGTTATATCTCACTCCTCTTATGCATTATGCTAAGTTTTCCTTTATCTCACAAACTCTAAAATACCAGTCATCCCTTTCAACCCAATACCCAAACCTGAATTTTCATTCCTTCTCTCACTTCAGTTTGGGCTTTTCTGGCCAATCCAAAAAATCTTTCATCTTCCCCTACAAGCAGCCTTTGTCCACGAAATGCTTAACGCAGTCTCAAAGAAGTCCCAAAGACAAGAAAATCCAGCAACCAAATGAAAAAACAAACAAACAGCAAAAGTCCCAAATGCTGAAATTCATAAGATACTGCAGCAAATACTAAATATGAAGATCACTGTTATAGTTTAATTCTGCAAATCTGACTTCTAGATACTGTAGTGTCTACATACTGAGTACAAACTGAGTACCACCTCAGTGTTGCTATTTTTCTTAACCTGAATTAGGCACAGGGTCAAGGTGGAGAGCTTTATAATCACTCAATTCAGGTGTTTATTTAGCCTTCTCCTTTTCAAAAGTACTTTGGGGGGGGAGGGTCACATGTTTATAAAACTACATTTTCCACCAAAAGGAAAGCTATTTTTTGAATGAGCTAATGCACCACAAAAATACTTAGGGAATATCATGTAGGCTGCCCCCCAATCCGGCAAATTATGGATTATTTCATTTCATAACGTCAGAGACCTAGCCAGATGATCTTTACTAAAGTTTCTCCCCTTCAATAGAGACAAATCCCCCATTTTTCATTTGGTACTTGCAAAGCAACCCAATAAAAGAAACCATCCTCAAACTTGTATATTAATACATCACTTGCAAATTCATGATAGCTACAATTAACTACCCACCAGAAAAACAATAACCTTACCTTTTTTCATTTCCATATGACTTCTGTGCAACTTTTGCATGAAGAATAAGTACTGTTTGATCCCCTCGCTCTTTTAAGTAATTTCGCATAGCTTCCCTAAAATAAAATATAAGTATTACTATTACAGGGGTGAGATTTAGAATATTACTATGCTCTGTGATGAAAAGAATGATTAAATATATTTTTAAATAAGCAAATATAAAAATGAAAACAAAAAAGCAAAACAAATCCAATAACTAAATTTAAAGAATATTATACAATGGGGAAATAAATATTGTTCATCTTCAACTCTGTATTTTATTTTTTAAAAGAAGAAACTGCCAAAAAAAAAAAAAAAGGAAGAAACTGTCCCTCATTCTTGGAATTTATGATGTAACTGAATTAAATCACAATTACAACTTCTATAGAATAACTAGAATCATTATATACATTGTTTACTTTGCTTTCAACTGTCTGTAAAATTAATGACATGCAACACTTTTATATTTAATAATCTAATTCTCCACCACCACCAATGCCATTCATTCCCCCAGCTACTATAATCAGCATTTTCCAATGAATACAAAGCTGTAACAAATCATTAGGTTACCCAAACTTATTACACTATTATTATTACATGTTCTTAAAAATAACAGCCTTACATAAAGACTATGAAAAGGCTACAATTTATACACAAACACACAATTACCCTGAAGGATGTTACCAAAGACATAATAAAATTTAATAAAGGTTAATTCAAGTTAGTGTAAAACTAAATTAAATTTTGGAAAAAAATAGTGTTAATTCAAGTACAAACTACTTCAACTGCCTATTATGCATAAACTGCATAAAAAGTCCACTGTCTGAAATATTTATTCTCTTGATTATTTTGCTAAGCAATACGAGAGTATACAAAGTCTCCACAGATCAAACAATTCTGAATCTGCAGTCGCAATTCTTGAGATGTTTTATGCACTATGAAATTAAAGCAAAAACAATCAAAAAGCACTTTTAATGCATTAAATGCTATTTTATTTAATTGTAAATAAAAGACAAATGTATAAGAGGACAGCTATGCAGTAACTGTACATTATTAAATGTGGGGAATTCTAGACTTGTAGCACTTAGAAAGTGGCTTGAGGCAAATCATTTCACCTCACCCAGTCATTTAATAATGCAGCCCTAACACAGAGCGGTTGTGGGGATTAATGAGATAATCTAGATGGCAGCCTGTGCGGCTACTGACTGAAAACCTGTTAGCTGCGAGGCAGGGCAGGTAACACTGAGATCCAACAGCTTGAGAATGATTCCCTACTGCTGACAAGGAGCTTAAAAGTCCAGCCAAGACAAGAGTTTGGAAAACAAATTGTAATAAAATACACGACTCAGAGGTATGAACAAAAAGCACCACCAAGGGAATACTTGTGTCAAGGAGGGGAAGGGTGATAAAGAACTACAGTTAACTCTTGAACGACGTGGAGGCTGGGGGAGCCAGCACCCTGCACAGTCAGAAATCTGCCTCCAATTTTCGACTCCTCCCAAACTTAACTACTAATAGCCTACTGTGGACTGGAAGCCTTATCGATAACAGTAGATTAACACATACTTTGTACATGTATTATACATAGGATTCTTATAATACGGTAAGCTAGAGAAAAGAAAATGTTATTAAAATCATAAGGAAAATCCACTTACAGTACTGTACTGCATTTATGGAAAAAAATCCACATATAAGTGGACCCATGCAGTTCAAACCCATGTTGTTGTTCAAGGGTTAACTGTACACGCTAGGAAAAATTTCTGAGAAGAGTTAAATTCAAAAAGGAAGAGGAGTAGGCATAGGAAGTGGGACGAGGAAAGATGAAGGCATTCCAGCATCTGGGAGTAGTACATATAAAGACACCAGAGACCTTGCACATTCAGGTACACGGAGATTCAGGCTGAGGAATAAGATCAACACAACAACAAAGCAGCAGCCGATATTTCTTGAGTATTTACTATGTGCCAGGCCCTGAACTAAGCATTTGATGTGTACTGCTTCATTTAATCCTCATAAACCAGAAAGGTAACAAGATTCTTAAAACCACTTTGAATGTCTTGCCCAGTGTGTTGCAGTTCATGTTAGGAGTGGAAAGTGAGCCGTGGCAGTGAGGAAAGGGGACACACTGGGTTGAGTCCAGGTGTGAAAGGCTTGTCAAACCCCTTGAAAATGTTGACATTTTGGGGCGCCTGGGTGGCTCAGTCGTTAAGCGTCTGCCTTCGGCTCAGGTCATGATCCCGGGGTCCTGGGATCGAGCCCTGCATCGGGCTCCCTGCTCGGCAGGAAGCCTGCTTCTCCCTCTCCCACTCCCCCTGCTTGTGTTCCCTCTCTTGCTGTGTCTCTCTCTGCCAAATAAATAAATAAAATCTTAAAAAAAAAAAAAGAAAATGTTGACATTTGTAAACTTACAAGATACTAATTCTGAAAGTTTAAGTTAATTCAAATATCACTCTATGATAGATGATAAAAGTGGTAGCAAGTAACACAATTTTTAAGGGACCTGGGGAAAAAATTTAAATGTAAATAAATAAGTAAATAACATAAAATCCTTCTCTTTGAGAATGGGAAAAAGATCATTTAATTTTACCCAAACCCCATTAAAGAAAAACACTGGATTTTCAATCTAGACAAAAAGGCAATGAGAGATCTTAAGGTTTTTTAAACATTCAATTAATTTCCCTTTTAGTGGTGGAACAGAGAAAGGATTAGAAAGCACTGAGACAAAACAAACTTGAAAAAAAGGCTGACACACTGAAAAAGAGGTAACAGAAGACAGTAGGAGGGAAGATGGAAAGACTTGCTAACTGTATCTTTTGGTCTGGGAAAAGTGGGTGTAGCTTAATAGATTCTGTTTGACAAATGTGAATTCTGAAGTGTCCCTGACCTCCAGGCTCTAAGTATTCAATAGGTGTTGGAAATTCCCATCTGCAGTTCCAGAGATAGGTCTGGGGAACAAAAGTGGGGTCTGCTGGTATATAGTTCACACATGAAGCCACCACACTGAATGAAATCTCCCAGAAAGAAAGCACAGTGACAGGAGAGTCAAGAAGAAAATGTACAAAATGGTGAAGAACCAGAAAGGGGTAGAATTGGACTGTTTATTAGATGCTATGGAAGGAGACAACCTTGAAAGAGGGTAAGAATCAAAAGGTGAGATGCTGCAGAGGTCAAGGTCACTTTATTTTTAGCAAGAAGTCTAACGGATGCCAGCTAACAGAACACCTTTTACAAATTATTTGTAGAATGAGAAGCCACTGTAACATCTAATGGTAAGAAAAGAGCCATAAATATCTGGCAACACCCTCAAAGGAATGGCAAAAAGCAGCCGACAATGGACAAGTAAAATGACTGAAGATCACCATCAAAGGACAACCTAATGGTAGAATCCATAAATGATGGTGCCAATTCCCTCTAGCACTCCAAAGCTGGGAATACAGAGAGCATATTCTCAAAACTGCTGGGTACTGGGTAAGAGGTACAGCCTAGAAAGGGTAATGATAAGGTATTTGACGCATTACTCAGGTGATTAATCACAGAGTTCAGGGTGGACAAGAAACTAAGAGCAAAGTCAGAAGGTCAGTATCTTCACAAAACTGGTGAAGTCCAGTTCTTGGCATAGAAACTTGAAAAGTTGCTGTATACTTGGAAAGAAAAATTTTATTTTTTAAAGAAAAATTTTAAGTAGCAATTTTAAGTATACTTCACCCCCTATAATCTGTTTACATCTATAATCCCTGTTATATCATTTAGCAATTACTTGGTATGTCTGTCAGATTTCAAGTCTTTCTTGTCTTTCCAAACAGACCACAAACTCTTTAAGACACACCATTAGGCGTATTTTAGAACCGGGGGAGAGGTTAAGTAACTTTCTCAAGAGGATAATTAACACCCAGAATTCAAACTTAGGTAGTCCAACTCTCAAGGACAAAATTATACTATCAGATACTTTGCAACAGTTAAATGCACAGCTTTGCTGTGCAACACACACGCAGTTTTCTTACCTGTAAAACAGAAGTGTACCTATATATTTTAAGTAAGTTAGCCCGACTAACTTACACCAAGTGTCAGTAAATTTTCCTACTATTACTATTATACTCTTAGAAGAGGGGGCAAGGGGTGGCAGTATTTCCACTGAAGTTTGAGAGCAAACTTGAAAAGGGCCTGCAGGTAAATGATCAGGCATGTCACCTGACTTGCAAGGCATACTATCTGTGGCCATGACAGGTAAATCTTACATTTATCCATCTTCCCATTAAAGATTTATTGAGAGCCTGTTCTACCCTGGCACTGGCCATGATGCTAGTTGCTTGTATTGAAAGCAGCTGTGTACAATTATGATTGTGACCGAAGATTTCAGATCTCAAGTTGTTTATGGTGAGTGCAAGATGACAGCTCCAGTTTTCATCCTCTCCCTTCATATTTAGAATACAGATTCTTGAAAAAGCAACAAGAACCTTCAGATAACCAATAGTTGTCTTGTAACTAATTTGCCAAATAGCTTCTTTCAACAAGGAAAAAAAAAACCTTTGCTTCCTTAATAGAACATCAAACCCATTAAAATTATGTTCTCTGGTAATTAAAGCTTGATCATTTCTTCCAGCTTTCTTAAGGAGCCATAACAAAGACGATATACTCCAAAGAAAAACAAATAATAGGGCCCACAGAATGGGAGCCCATGTGCCTTTCATCCAAGTACAGTAGGGTTTCACCAACAGAATGGGGTTTCAGTTTCAGCACTGTTGACAGCCTGGGCAAAAAAATCCTTTGCTATGAGGAGACTGTTCTGTGCACCGGAGGGTGTTCAGCAACATTTCCAGCTTCTACCCATCTGAAGCCAGCAGCACCCTTCCTCAAACTGTGACAACCAAAACTGTCTCCAGATACTGGCAAATGTGAGCGGGGTATAAGGGGGAGGTCACCTGGTTGAAAACCACTGGTTTAGAGAAAGTCAAAAGTATTTCAATAAAATGGCAAAATCATCCATTGTCTTTTTAAAAAAGAATAAGGGAAATTTTATCATTGGAAAACATAATGTAGGTATTGTAAGACTCTTACTAGTAAAATTACTACTCTGTAT